AATGTTCTGTATAAAGAAACTTTTACATAAATAATTTATTTCAAAAAGATAGAGGTGGAAAACAGGAGAGGTATTAGGTACACTAAAGAGGAAAGAAAGAGATCTTAATGAATTCTGGAATCCATCTGCCTCTAAGGAAATGAATTTGTAATCAGTAGTGGGTCATAAATCAAATGTCATCATGTGAATCCAAGAAGAGAGGTCAGTTTCAGTTATTTCCAAATAAATGTTTTCTTAATTGCTTGGTACTGAGATAGAATTTCCCAGAAGATTTAAAATCAGAACACATTAAACTCTGTTAAAGTTAAAAATTTCCACAAAATGTAAAAATTTACACAACTCGTATTTTGTATGTTTGTTCCCCCTCCCAAAAAAGAACAGATCATTCTGAACAATATTTAGCAGAATAATGTGACAAATACTATTTGTCTGAAGTTTCAAGAAACTAGAGAATAATTCTAAGAAAGCATATATAGTCTATGACAAATATAATTTTTATTTCAATACACAATTAAAGATTATACACAGGACTAGATACAAATATTAGTGATTAAGTTGTTTTGTAAAAAGTCCTTTCATTGCATATAGTACAGCTGCTCCTTGAAATCTGGAATATTTCATGGTGCAAGATTAATTCCAAGACTATTGAGAGGAGTCTTAAAATTTTCAAGCAAAATATAAAACTCAAATTTATTTATAAAAAAGAGTCCTTTTCAAGAAACATCCTAATTAGGGTGTAATATGCCCTTCTCTTGTCACTACCTTTGCTACAAAAATGTAATTTTGATACTTTTACCTATTTTGAAAAGCTTTAAAAAATCTTACATTTTAAGGTTATAGTTAAAGAATTATGTCTAACTATAAAAGCCCCAAAATGCACATAGAAAGCTTTTCAGTGAACAAAAGCAATTTTCAGAATGTCCTTGATATCAGTTTTGCATTCCAGGTTCTCTGAAGGATAAGGAGCCTAACGCCTACATGCTATTTTAAAAAGATAATTTTCAGAAACTCTGTGAAATATCTTTACGATTCTATGGACCACACACTTACATATTCTTTAGCTCAGCAATACAAGAAGTATGGTGTTGGGGAAAACTCAGTTATCTATCACAGACAGCAAGGTCTGAAAAATAAGTAATGACACTTATCTAGATAGATATTATGGGTAATTCTCTTAATTTATCTATACTTTTAAGTTTTTCAATAAAAACATGATAGATTTGGTAATAAACATATACTACTCTTTAATGTAGAAATGATACCTTCTCACTTAGTAAATTCCCTTCGAGGAATTTACCAGCGATTCTTCCTTCTTAAAAAAATGTAATATGCGACACAGAATATAAAAAAAAATGTTTACTTCAAATTATTTACTACAAGTGAAAAGTGATAATATATAATATTCAATAATAAAGGAATCATTAAGTAAAATCGGATTCATCCATAAGATATAGAACACTATGCAGCTATTAAAAATGTTTTATAAAGTTATATATAATACACAAAATGCTTAGGTTATAATGTTAAGTGGAAAAAATATAATTTATAGTGTATCATGTTCTCTCATCTATGGAAAAAAATGCATTTAAATAAAAAGTTAGGGGGAAATATGTCATAATGTTAAGAATGGTTTATTCCCATTGGTGAAGGAACTATACATATGCTTTTTTATGCACTTTACTTTTCCTTATTTTTTATATTTTGTATAGTAAGACACTATTTCTTTAAAAGTCAGAAAAAAAAATGTAAGGGCATAAGTGGCTTTTCTAGAATTTTACTTAAGAGACAAAAGACTAGCTATACAATTACCTAGAAAGAAAAAGTTATTTCCTAGTACTGTGTAGTATTAATAAAACACTACTCAAGGACATTCATGGAATAGCAAACTAGCAACCACTACTGCCTAAAATAGTTTAACAGCTTAAATGCTATTATTCTTTTCCCATTATGCTAATTTTATAAAATTAGCTTCTCTAATTCATAAACCACAAACCAACACTACAAAGCTTTTATGAAGTATTATATTAGGAAGCTGGATTCTACCACCACCTGCTTTCCCTTTTGTGTGTAAAATTCACAGAGATTTAATAACATAAGAATACCGCTTCAGATGATGATGTAATTATATTTCTTAAAGTGTTAAGCTACTTGATAGATTAAATCAAATTGAAGATCTCTTCTGTCTACTAATTATTTTTTTTTTTAGGGAAACAAACTTGGATCTCCCAAGCTCTGTAGAAAATAGATCATTTTTGAGTGATACAGAACAAGAGACAAGACTCAATTAAAAATAAAAGTTCCAATTGTTCATCACATAGATGTTTAAGCTAAAAACTAAAATTTGTCTCAGGATCAAACCTGGGTGAAAAAGGCCTCTAAGTTTTAAAGCATGCAAACTTATATTGATTTAAAATAGAGTATATAAAGAAACTTTTATAATGATATTTTGGTAATTGTTTTTTATACCATATTTATTGTTCTATGTTTACTGTAGTCTGATCAGCAATGAGAGCCTAAAATAATTTAAAATAAAACAAAGTTTTCACTAGCCATCTTATAGTTTTTAAGGTTGTTGTATTTATCAAAAATACACATATTTATCCAGGGAATGAATGAAGTTAACAAATACTGCTGTAAAAAAACTCATTAACAACAAATTGAATACTCTATGAAACAATTGTATCTGTGCCCTTGCTAAACAATCATTGATGTAAATTACCTATAAAAATTCACAGAGCAGCTTCACAAATCTAGAGATCTAACTTTTCTGTTCAGCAATTGCCTTGACATTTCCCTCACCCCCTCCACATTATCTCTAATTGCACCAAATTACTACAAACACACTCACCCATCTTAAATTGACACTATTAGTTTTTATGTTAACGACTTCTTTAGAAAAAGCACAAGGGAGATGATTTCTGTGGACTAAAAATTTCGCTTTTAACCTAAATCACTTAAAATACATATACTACACACACAATTTAGGATCTAAGTGCTCTTTCATGATCTAACCTGTACTTTCAATTACAAATGAATGCATTGATCTGTGATAGCCAAACCACGATACTACTCTACAGTGCCCCCTAGCTCTCTAAAATGTATCAGTTTAAAGGGGACACCATTTGAATTGTCAACCTCAAGTGTCAGTCGCTATCAGTTCCACTTAATCAGCTCTTAAATAGATACTGTATTAACTAAATTTGACCTGATAAAAAACAACTGACTTAATTAAATCTTGCTATGAATCCAATAAGGCCTGATGGGAAAAAATGCTGTGAACTGATGGGTTTGGAATAATTCTACCACGTATATATTCTAGTTCAAAAGTTCTGTAGAACCGGTCTATAACTCGCAATTTGTTTGCTTTTCAGACAGTCATTAAGCAAGGACTCAAAATTACGCATTTAAAATGCCTTCTTTTTATGTAAGTCCAGGGGAAATGGCATGGCAAAAGGCCATGGCTCTTCAGAGGAATGGAATCAATTTCTTCATTTTTAAAAATGCTGGGATCAGATTAAGTTATGCAAAGACTTAGTAATGTCACCATAGCCAGATTATCACTATCATTACAAACAATCAAAATTGCTAACACTGGTAAATTTGTGAGAGGAAAATCTGTGACCTTGGTCCTGATGCTACAAAATAAGTCAGATCTAGACTGCTTCAGGATCAGTCGAGGAAGGCAAACAGTGAGTAGGACTGAATGGCATATGTCTCTTCCTTCTGGAAACCGACATTAAACAAAACTTCTAAGTACAACAGCCACAAAAATCACTCAAGTTTCCAAATGCCCTTCGCCTTACCTAAGTCGTTCTGGAAAAAAGTCCCACTTTATTCCACATTCAAACTCTAGTGCATTCGTACTAACAAGGGAAAAAACGGAATAGGTTGAAAACTGAGGGGGGGGGGATGAAAAAGGATGAAACTCCAGTAGCAACTACAAGAAAGCAGAGCAGATACATCAAAACCACTAGATTTTATTCTAAAGAATGGTTTTGCTTCCACCGTTTCTCTAAGCTAAGGTATTTAATTTGCACGTCTTAAAATAGAGACCCTGAGGAGAGCAGCTTGAGGCAGTGGAAGGAAGGGAGGCGGGTTAGGTAAGAACAGAGACTTGCGAGAAAATATGTGCGGTGCATTAGAATGTGCAATGAAGAGGGGTGCTGGATTCACCGCCAGGAAGCAGTTGAGGGCTTTATGAGTAGAGAGGCGGAATCCGACGAGGTTTAAGGAATGCGTATTCACAGCCAGAACGCACACCTGGTAAAGGGACAACCCTAGACAAGAAAGACCAACCCACCAACTGTGCAAATGCAGAGATGACCATTTCAACCAATTCTATTGTCTGGAGTATTAGATGGAAATGCCCTAGGCAAGAGATCAAGCTAGCCAAACAGCAAATCAGAGACACCGCGGGGCAAAAGCAAGGAGAGAAGACGGACAGTGGCTGTCTGGGCATTCCCGGCCACCGGGGCCCCTTCCTCGCGGGGCAGGGGAAGGACGCCGGGGTCGCCGGGGCCGCTCGATCCCCGACCCGCGGAGCCCAAGCGCAGGCGGTCCCCTCCTCCGGCTAGCGACGTCTCTCTCGGCGCAGCCCGGGAGCACCGAGACTTCCCCTCCCACCCCACCCCCAGCCGAAAGCAGGGAAGACGCGGAACTTGGGCTCCGGAGCGGAGGCCACAGAGCAGGTCACGGCCCGGGTGGGAGGCTCTGGGCGAAATTCCGGGTGACCACCGGGGGTAGCGTAGGGGAAAGCGAAGCCCCGGCCGGTCGGGTTTCCAGTCGGACGACACTCGGGTCCCGGCGACCGGGCCCGATCCCTGCGCTGCTCCCCGAGCCCCTGCACCTCCTGGGTCCTCACAGTCCCAGGCCCGCTCGCCTTCGCCGGTGGCGCGGCCTCTCGGGTCTCCCCGGTCCCACCACTGCTGCCGCCCCTCTCGGCAAACAGCGCCTCTCCCGAGCCCTCTCCTCGGACGCTCCCGCCGAGCCCCGGGCCGCACCTCCGTCTTGGTGATCCGGTGCCGCCCCAGCTTCACCACGGCGAAGTTGCCCTTGCCCAGCGTGCCCTCGATGTCGTAGAACCCCACCCGGACCGGCCCGCGCTGCAAGTGCCTCGGGCCATCCGCCATGACCATGCTGGGCCCCGCTGCTAGACACGGCGGACAGGAGCGCGGGCTGGCGGGCTGGCGGCGCGGCTCGGCTCGGGCGACGACCGCTCCGCTTGCTCCTTCGCTCCTTCCCTCCCGCTCCGCAGGGCCCAGCCAGGCGCGCGCCGCCGCTGACGTGCGCCGACGTCAGGGGGCCGGGGCATGGGGGCGGGGGCGGGACCGGGCCTCGATTGGTCACCATGGCGACCGGAGCACCGCCGACGTCGGCGGCGGGCGGGAGAGAGGGGGGCCGGCGCGCGGGGAGGGGCGCCGGGCCAGGCCGGCGCGCTCCTTCCGGCTCTGGCGCCCTCGCCTCTCCCCTCCGCCTCGCCGCTGCCAGGGGCGGGGTCGTCGCCCGGCCCGCCCCGTTCGTCGGCCTTCCAGCCGAAGGGCAAGAGCGAGCCCTGGTGGGCGGTGCCGAGGGCTGCAGCGACGCGGATCCGGCCTGTGGGCTCCTCCGCCCCGGCGTTCTCCGCCCACCCGGGGCCCTTCCCGCCAAAACCCGTCACCTATGAGTACAGTGCACCTTAAATTTGGCACCGGCAAAGGGCTGAGCAACGCGTTGCTCACAGGCTCCTTCCTTTGTATCTTGCTCTCATCTCGTTGCTATATAAATCCCTCCACATTTTGATGTCTCCGAGGAATCATGCTGACAGCAGCACGGTCGCTTATAGACTCGCGGAATGTCCAGCGTTGAAGAGACCCTAGAGATCACTTAATCGGAGATTTAGAGCCTCAACTGGGCTTCAGAGCCTGGAACCCCAGGAAATGTAGGCAAATGTTTGCTTTTCTGAGCATGTCTGTGGGGAGATGGGATCATATCTTCTATCATATTCCCGAATGTGTTGGTGACCCTGAAAAGGTTAAGAAATATTTATCTAATCCAATTTCTTCTCAGATGACGAAGCAGGCCGCAGGAATGAAGGGAATTGCCAAAGTTACACAAGTAATGCTAGAGTTAGGATTGTAAATCACCACACGAGTGATTTCCATATAGCGACCCAGGGAAACAGGAGAAGCGACATTTTAATATTTTGAGCTATATTATGTGCCTCCAAGCCTTGGCTCCTAAATACCATTCTCCACTAAAAAGAAGCAGAGTCCTTGACGAAATGGCTGATTCCAGAACAGAGAGAGGGAAAGTATAAAATACCCTCGAAAGACCTTGTTCCGGAAAGCAAGGAGATTTCTTGGATATGTCAAGGAGAATATGTCAAAAGAAAAAAAGAAGACAGCTTGAAGGTCTCCTTATCATGTCTGAGACGATTTGAGCATCAAGAATGAATACTGAGAGAAATGAATTATAACACATTTAATTTTTAAAAAGAATTCATCAGTACGTGCTTAATCTTTTAAATAAATAAACAAATGTAAAGGGGGGTGGGAATGAAAGTTCTTGACAGTGAATGCCAGCTAACACATGTGGAAGAAATGATGAAATTAGGAAATCATCTCACAACTATTATAATAATAATTGATCCAGACAAAATTATCAATAGATATTAAAATCACTGGGTGAAATTTGGCTGGGATATTTACACAGCCTTCAGATTTTTTTATGCATTACAAAGGGTTAACAAAGGTATTTTGACAGTGAACAAATCTGGCAGACACCATCCTAACCAAATGCTCAGAGTTAATGTCACCAATTATGGGATAAAATGACATGATGTGCCTCCTGATGTGAGGTACTGAGAACACAATCAATATCTCTTATGTAGTATCCCTGACAAAAATTCATATTATGAATCTAAAAATAGTCAGAAAGATGTAATCTGAGAAACATTCTACCCAATAGATGATTAGTACTCTTTTAAAAATCAGTGTCATAAAAGACAAAGGGTAAGGAACTGTTCTAGATTTAAGGGATTAAAGAGACATGCCACTAAAGGCAACATGTGATCCTGGAAAAAATGCTATAAAGGAATATTTTCAGGACAATTGCTGAAATTTGAATATGAACTGCATATTAGATAAGAATATTGTTTCATTGTCAAGCTTCTTGCATTTTATCATTGTACTGTGGTTATGAAAGAGAGTATCCATTATTAAGAGATAAACGCTGAAGTATTTAGTGATAAAAGTTTTTGATATATGCAACTTATTCTCAAATGGTTTAGCAAAGATAGATAAAGTAAATGTGACAAACTGTTAAATTAGTAAATCTAGATAAAGTGTAGATGGTAGTTTATTGTACTGTTTTTACAACTTTTCTGTAGTTTAATTTTTCAATGAAAATTAATATATCATGTGTATATTTATTATATTTTATTTTAAAATTTATTTTATTTATATATTTTATATTTTATTTTATTAGTGCAAGATTGATTGGCTGTTGGCCCTCCACTGCTCACTGGCTGTAAGACTGATCAGATTTCTGGATTGATAGAAGTCGTATATGAGGGTTCCTCTAACTAGAGCAGGAGCCCATTTTTGTATACCAGTTCAAAAATAGTTCCCATATGCATATGGCTAATTAGATGAATGTATTTTAATTGTCCTGGGGCTGGGTGCCTTTGGGAATCTGATGAAAAGCCACTTACTCAGGAACCAGAAAATGTACATAGAGACCCACTAGAGTTAACAACCTTCTCCTTTAAAGTATACCTTTTGAACAGAAATTGACTCCTTTTTATCTAATTATTTTAATCAGATAACCAGGCCAACTACCTACTTGTACAGTCCTGGAATAAGAACTGATTTGGGGCTAGAAAGAAGAAAAAAGGATGGCAGGGAGTACCAGAAGTTTTTGGAAAACCAGAGTTCAATGTGAGCATGCTGAGTGTCTAGAAGTTAGAGAAAGAGAGGCCAAAGATAGGAAAGAGGTAAAAAGGCGTATCCCAAAAATCAACCTTGCCCATGTGGAAATGCAATGGATGTGCAACTGAAAATTACTGGTAGGTTGTAAACTCTGCAGAAATATGTGGACTAATTTAGAATACTTCGACTTTGGATTTTGTGATTCAACTCTATTTCCTCAATCCAAAGATCCTTCTCCTATTTCAATCCTATATGTTGCTTATATGCTTTTGCTTCCAATTAAATGATAGCTGTATACATATTTTTTTTCTTTTTTTGAAACACAGTCTCGCTTTGTTGCACAGGCTACAGTGAGTGCCATGGCGTCATCCTAGCTCACAGCAACCTCAAACTCCTGGGCTCAAGCAATCCTGCTGCCTCAGCCTCCTGAGTAGCTGGGACTACAGGCATGCGCCACCATGCCTGGCTAATTTTTTTTCTATATATATATTAGTTGGCCAATTAATTTCTTTCTATTTATAGTAGAGACAGGGTCTGGCTCTTGCTCAGGCTGGTTTTGAACTCCTGACCTCAAGCAATCGCCCGCCTCAGCCTCCCAGAATGCTAAGATTACAGGCGTGAGCCACCGCGCCCGCCCAATAGCTGTATACATTTTAGCAATTGTTATTATCCAACTCCTACTTTGCTCTTCTCTTCCTCTCTCCCTCCTTCTCTCCTCTTTCTCTTTCTATACACACCCACCCCCCACGCCCTCACACACACACTCGGGAAAAACGAATGAAAGAAAAGAGGGAGAAGGAGAAGGAAAGAGAGTTTCAGACAGTCACCATCTTTTGCATCTCTGGTTTTAGTGTCAGTGAGGTAGAGCATACTAGTCACTAGATTTTCTATATGCTTGACTTTTCAAATGCAGCAATCCCAACTGATGCTGTGAGTCTACTATATTTGCCATTGAGTTGGTTTAAAAAAATGTTAACATAACACTTTGAAAGGCCAAAGGGAATACAGATAGAATTAAGAATGATGGTAAGACACTAAGAATTAATTCTGTAACACACTTAACTTAGAATAAAGTGGACTAATAAAAATGTGGAATGAGAGGAGTTAGCAAAGAGGTAATGAAGAAGTGATCTGAAATGTGAGGAAAGAAAACTTTGTGGCTCACAATGCTATACATATTTTGCTAAAGCAGATGGCCTGTGAACTTGAAAAACAAGGTATATACCTGTGTGTCCTTGATCATGAACAACATCTGCCTTTTTACTGTTTTTTCATTTTAGGACTGAAGGAAAGTCAATACACCTGGCCTGGATTTAGATTTAGTACAAATCAAAAACTGGTGAAATCTTCATTAGATGACTTTGCTTAGAAAAAATAGATTACGAAGCTAGAATGAATACTTTGCTTTTCATATTAACAAAGGCAGAAATTACACGAGAAAATCCAAATCATTGACCTGTGCCAATTCCAAGCACTTCTTTTTTGTTGTTGTTTTTGAGACTGAGTCTTACTCTGTTGCCGAGGCTAGAATAGTGTGGTATCAGCCTAGTTAACAGTAACCTCAAACTCCTGGGCTCAAGTAATCCTCCTGCCTCAGCCTCTCCAGTAGCTGGGATTACAGGCACTTGCAACCGTGCCTGGCTAATTTTTTGTTTCTATTTTTAGTTGCCCAGCTAATTTTTTCTATTTTTAGTACAGACAGGGTCTCGCTCTTGCTCAGGCTGGTCTTGAACCCCTGACCTCAAGCTATCCTTCCATCTCAGCCTCCCAGAGTGCTAGGATTACAGGTGTGAGCCAACGCGCCCGGCCCAAGTGCTTCTTATTAGTATAAATTACAGATATTCATGAAACAAGCATCAATCAGATAGGTTAATGAACATGTGGGTGTTACTATGTATAAGGTACTATTATGGAAATAAACTGGAGGATTGAGATTACTTAAAGAAAACTTTGTTTAGCATTTTTATTTTTTTAATAGCTTTATTTAGGTGTAATTGATATATGAAAAACTGAACATATTTAATGTATGCAATTTGATGGCTTTGAACATATGCATACGCCTGCGAAACTATCACTACAATTGAAGTACTAAACATATCTGTCATCTCCAAAAATTTCCCCTTGTCCCCTTTGTGTGTGTATGGGCAAGTAAGAATACTTAACTTGAGATCTACTCTCTTAAGTTTTTCAGTGTACAGTAGAGTATTGTCAATTATAAGCACTATGTTGATCAACAGATCTCTAGAACTTATTTCTCTGTCATTACTGAAGCTTTATACCCATTAAACAAATCTCCATTTCTCCTTTCCCTCCAGCCCCAGGCAACCACCATTCTATTCTCTGTTTCTATGAGCTTGACTATTTTAGACACCTCATATAAATG